CTCTGTCTTTACAATTCAAATCTTATTAAACCCTTACATTAGTTTTAAAAAAGGATTTAAAAAGAGAGGTAACAAAACCCAAATAAAAAGATAAATTCAATCAGAATTAATTGAAACGAGCAAATATTTGTGCGTTGAAAAGAATGTATTCATTTTTACACACTCGTCCCTCCTTTCTGAGGCTGCAAGTCTGTGAACATGATGCGTCTGCATTGTTCACACAGATTAGTTCTCATATTTATACATCGAAGCATTGACAATAGACCCGACGCGTTTTTAAGGCGAATTTCACCACAAAAGAGCCTTTATGACCATCATAATGTAACAATCGGTGTTAAACAGTGACGTTTCCTGCAACACTAAAATATTAATATAATTAATATCCTACCAGCAGCTACCGTTTAATGGTCTGAGAAGTGTGACGTCAAGTAACAACATTCTCAGATTCATAGTAATCCCTCCACAAAAATAACAGCTGTGCAGAAGCAACAGAATCCCCCCCTTAAGTGCCTTGTTGATTGATACAGTGATGAGGATTATGTCTCGTATTTACGTGGTGGATATCGATGCTCGACGTTCCAAACATTTTAATGACAGACAACCTGCTGTGATCGCACTAAACACTGCCACCCTCTGAGTCCTAATCAGAATTAAGTGTTTGATCTGAGCTTACGTTAATATGTACAGTAATCCAAGATTACGCTGTCATCAAAATAATGAGTGGTGTGCAGTTCAGAGTGCAAAATAGTACAGGAAAAGGGAAATGTCTTTAATATAAGTTTGATGCACTGAACTTTTATTTTTCCTTTATCCCAAATTTACAAGCTTATTCTTGTAGTTTAGGTGAGATTAGAAATTAAACTTTATGATTTGATTTTTTTTTTATAACCTACATGAATAATTATTTATTTTTTATTTTTTATGTTTTTTTGAAGTAAAGCCCACACCAGGAAAAAACGTGAAGATTCATAAAACAAAGATGGTATTCTTAATTGGCACCAAAACCCGATATAGATTCAGATACTCGATCTTTCCTCATGAAAAAGCTTTTTCTTCTCGTTTTTGGGTCAGTAACTTTATCTCAACCCTTTCCATTTGTGAGTAATGTTTCTCACAAGACCGCAGACATGGGGTGGAAGCCCTTGGGGACACTGGAAGGTATTAGAGTGAACAACAGAAAGCAAGGAGTGGTTAGTATTGAAACTGCAGTGCGCGCACACACATGGATACATATTGTGAGATTAGAGGAGAGCAAGATCCAAATAATGGTAGCTGGAATTTATGAGTATAATTGAGTTTGAAGTTTTTAGAAATTTATTGTGTCGACTGTATGTGTGCGCGTGTTTATTGTCAGGGACAGTCTGAGGGCCATCTCCACCCAGTATTGACCATGTCTGATGGCGTAATGATGCCATTCCTTCTTATATGGAGCCAGACTGTCCGTCCATCTGAAGACCTTTAGTTTTAGTTTGTCTGAAAATGCCAGCAATGAAAGAGTGGTATGGAGAAAATATTGGGGAAAAAAGTAACAATTAACTATTAACTGCTTAGTGTTACTACACGTGACATTGCTTATTGATTAAAAAGTTGTTGTACATGAACTAACCTAAGTAAATACATTTCTCAGGTTGACCCTTATGTGCTTCTTAACCACAAGAATAGTGCTTAAAAGATATTGTAGTTGTATTTTCTTATTTTATGTAAAAAAATAAATAAATAAAATTTTTAAACATGTCCAAATAACTCAAAATAAAACCCCCATTCTTAATTCAGTTTAATTCAGTTATATTTATATAGCACCAAATTATTTTGTAATGTAAAGACCCTATAATAATACAGTGGAACCCCAGCTTACGAAGACCCCATTTAACAAAAAATTCAACTTACGAAGGCACTTAACGGCAATATTTCTGCCCATGCTACGGCAAAATGCCTGCGTAACAAAATCCGCTGGCTGAGCCCACAATGCCCACAATGCCTTCCAAATCATGTGATAACCCCTTGGCTTTCGTGCTTGTGTTTCGCTGTATTGTTGTTGCAGTGCACTATTTCTTGTGCTTTTCGTTTGCAATTAGTCTATCGTTCATTCGTAATGGGCCCAAAAAACTTTCTGCAAGTGATTCCAGTGAAAAGAAGAAGCGTAAAGTGCTCTGGATGGAAACAAAGAGAGAAATTATTGATAAATATGAGCGAGGTCCTCCTCCACCAAGAACTTCGTCACTCAAAAGGCGATGGAAAAAGGTGCTTCGACTTACGAAAATTTTGACTTACGAAAGACCCTCTGGAACGAATTTATTTCGTAAGTCAGGGTTCCACTGTACAGAGAAAACCCTAACAACAAGATGAGGGGGTCATTATGAGCGAGCACTTTGGCGACAGTGGAAAGGAAAAACTCCCTTTTAACAGGAAGAAACCTCTGGCAGAAGCAAAGGTTATTAATAACAACTTAAAGGTGCTGTTGCTTATAAATAATTTGTATTAAGTTTAATGCATATTAAAAGGAAATAGTTAAGAAATTATGGAGTGAATGGTCTTAATTATTGGAATTGTGATTTTAGAATATCTTAATGCCAAATAAATTGATAAGTGCTTCATAATGACTGAGGCTGCAATATGCTCCTAATATTTACAAGCCAATAAGAAAGTAGAAACTGGCAAATACGTGTTTTCAAAAACTGTGAATGTATGAAAGGAATCACATGTCGCCTTTAAACCTGACAACAAAAACCTTATTAAGCAATACAGGTTTGTAGTAAATCAGCATAGCAGCAATAAAAGGATTTTATGAAACTGGAACATTGTGATGTTCCTCGAAGTCGCATTGCATTACTTTGTGACTATTACAACGAGAAGAGTTCTTCAACCAGGCAAGTTGAATAATTGTTTTTATCAACACCCCAGGCAGGTCGTTATAAGTTAAAGAAGTAAGTCTCTCATAAAAATATAATGTTTAACAATGTTTAACTGTTCTCACCATATTTCCAAAAGTCTGAAAAAGGGTTTTACATTTAAGCTTTTACTGGGTCAGATCAATTATTTAGCACGATTAGCATCCCTGTGTGTTTTGTTACTAAGATTCTCACAGATTTCTGTATTTCTTTTTGTATGTCTTTGTATTTGGGGGGTATTATTATTCATTCAGTTCAAAGGTTAGAAAGAAAAATGTTTTTCATTCACTCCCAACAGTTTTCTTTAAGCAAGAATAAAAATCAAAACTGTCAACTTAAAGGCACGACTCGTCACAAAGCCTGGAAGCAGTGAAGCCATTAATGTCACAAATGTCTTTGCAAAATCCACTTAAGGTATTTAATATTCATCAGATCAAGGAATTTGCCAACATTTCTAATAGCACTCAAAAGCGCTTAACTGCAGCTGAGCCATCTCTGACAGTATGTTGCGCATTAGTGTGGCGGTAATGGTGCGCTGCCCGCGCGACATATTCTGCTTTATTTCCCACTGTGAATGGAATGCAGTCTGTCACAGTGGGAGCACGAGTAGACGGGCGAAGCAGAGGTGTAAGTGGGGAACTCTTGACCATCTGCGTTTTAGCACAAGAGCGGGATTCAGAGTCTGGTCTGAGCCTAAAAGGCTGTTGACCCACATTTTGTGTCATGGATGGCACTTTGTATCACTTAGCTGTCTGCATGCAACTCCCCGTGTTCCTCTGTGTGTGTGTGTGTGTGTGTATGCAGGTGTTTAATTTGCAGACATCATACAATAACTTTGGTGGACTTATTTACAGCATTTTATTTCATTTTTTTGTTAGCTGAACTACAGTGTTTGTGTTTAACAAAGAATCATTAGTTGCATAAGAGAAAATCTGTGTAAATGAAATCTCTTTGGGACCGCTGAATGGACGAAACAAGCAGTTAAAAGATGTTTCCTTTGTGCTCTTGTAAATTATTCATTTTCTTTGAGATGTGAAGGCATAACAGAATAATTTATAATTTTCATGAATGGAATCAAACTGGAGATGTTATTACATGTCAGCTTTGTAATTACATATACTACTTGGCTACTAGATCAATTGAAAAAATTGCCCCCCATTAAAAATTAATAATTTATTCAAATCATGATAATAAAGAAGAGGGTAATAAATCTTAGTTGAAAGACCCTTCAGGACTACCATTACATTCCCCCTGGAGCAGCAACCCCTATCATGCATTAATCCATCCTAAACTGGACCACACTGGGAAATCCTTGAAGGTGGGGTTATGTATTACCTAATTAGAGTTTTGATTTAAGACTCATCTCTAAATAATGGAATCACACACACACATGTGCATACTGGGAGGAGAGATGTGGAACATATAAACGCAGGATGGACTGTGTTCGTCTAATAGTAGCAGGTATGTCAAACTAGCAGAGTAGGTCACTTGCAAGTTTTTGCAAGTTAATGCAAATGTGTGCATGCACTTACTAGAAAGACGGGACCTAAAATGACCAGTTATTCAAATATGTGCCGTTGGGTAGACAAAGCATGGCTCTACCTGGGTTGTCCCTGTTTTTTCCATTTTTATTTTGATTTAAATCACAGCAGATCCTGGGAGCCTGCTGGTTTTCATTACAACAGCCTGTTCCCTCTTAAGCCTCCCTCCCCTTCCTCTAAACCATAAACGCCTATGTCAGTCGGTCTTCAGTACACGCTAATCCCACCAGCGCAGATATATGGTCGAGATCAACTTTCAAGTAGCTCAGTCATGGATTTCACATTTTCCTTTTCATAATTCCTTTTTCAAAATGACTTTTGCTCCCATCTTGCAACTTGATGACCTCATTACAAATGGCACACGGCATGTAGGTAGATGTACGACAACAATCTGGGACAGTGTACGTGGGGACTTTGGTTGTAAAGAAAGAGAGGAAGGAGGGGGTCGCGAGGAGTTGTTTGACAACGAAACAGTTGAGCCATTAGGGATGTACCGGCTGAGTTTGCTGGGAGTTACAGCATGTTGCAACATCCTCGGAAATTTTCACGCTCCCGTTCCTCCCCTCTTTAGACCTTCTCATGCTCATCGCCTATTCAGATGCTTACTCCCCAACAGCATATGGCATTCAGTATTAATGTATTTATGCTTCATCTTGCTGCTCTCCTCTCTGGTGTCAAACATTGTCGCTTTCATTTCTTTTCTTACAAAATACCTGGAGCAGCAGGAGGTTGGGAAGTTAAAGAGAAAGTGAAGCTACTCAAACTTTTCAAGCTTTGCAGTTTGCATGCGTACGCAGAGGACTCCAGAGTGCCTCTGCTTACAGCTGCACCGCTGTTGGAGATGCATCACTTCTCAACTCCGCGATTATTAGATCAGAGTCAGCAGGAAAGACGGGGGAAATGAAAAAACACACAAATATGCACACGACAGACCACAGGGCATCAGAGGAAACTTTTTCATCATGCTGTCGGGAGCATAGTGTCCTCTTTGAAATAAAGATATTTACGATTATCCTTCCTTGGAAAAAGCAAAGCGTGACTGGTTTTTGATTTCATTCTGCGCCTGTCTTCTTCTTCTTCTTCTTCTGCTGCAGCTCATTACCAGAAAACACGCACTTCGATCTTTTCTACATTTTATCCAGCACGTCCGCAGCTCTTACACCCGCACTCCCTTCTCAACAAGACTTGTTCTTGCACCACATAAAAATTACATCAGGGCTCTCATCTTTAAATGGCCTATGACATTTATAGATGGGTTGAAGTGTGCATTCTCTGTGCCGTTTCGGCCCGGGGCCTATTAAAGCAATTGAATCGTCTTTGCATTTCGTCTTTGAAGTGTTGGGAGAATAACTGTGCTGTCCAAGTTCTGGTTAATCATTAGCGATAGCAAAGCGCTCCATGTGAAAAGCACTGCTTTTATAGCAGCGGCAAGCACAGCATGGGGTGTCTGTTAGGCCTTCATAGATAATGTAATCTCTAGTCTGGTAAGGGGAAAAAGAGAAATGGGGAGAGATTTTGATGCAGCAGGGAAACTGTTTTTATGTGTGCATGCGTGCTCTCTTTATGCCTGTGGGGTGTCAAACAGAGCTTTGGTTATGAGAATCCTTTATTTGTGTGATGATGTAGCCATTAGGGCTCTGTGTCGTGCCTCTCCGTCTCATAATGTTGCTCTGGATGTGAACTTCTACAAAGGGTTTTGGCCTGTATTCATTTTCTGATGGTTAGATACGACGCCCGCCTGGAGGCTTCTTGTCTCATGTGATGCGCAGCTACGAAGCAAAACAGCAGAGAAGCAGAGCTCTGTCCTCGGCCGGGAGTCACCTGCCATGTGAACTGCTGGATTGTTGTGTTTAGCCTCAGGAGACGTGAAAACTTATGCTTTGACTGCCTGACCTGAACATTTGAAAACTGGGAATCGTACAGGCTCGGTTTTCATTCAACCAACACATCATTTTTTATCAAAAACGATATCAGGACTGGACAGGATGAGCTGGTCTTTGGCGGATTCCTTGTGCCGTCGGGATGCTGCGTGTGCTGAAAGATTTCCAATGCGTTTTTCATATAGTTTGCAGATGAATTATCGAAATCTGCACCACATAAGTGGATATTTTCACTACTCGTGATAAATCCAAAATAAATCTCTCGTTCTGTTACAACGTTAGACCATAATAGGCAATCTTCCAGACGAGCAGGGCTTATTAAGAGTGTTTTTCCTTCATCTGATGAAGTATGATGATTTATGGTTTTTTAAACTTGATACCGTTTCTTAGCCAAAAGCAGACATTGATAATAATAGAGACTGTTTTCACTAAGAGAGCTTAATGTTTTGCACCTGGCTTTCATCATACACGAGTTGCATGTGTGCTGCTTGGAAAGATAAACGTGAGCTCACTGATGATGAGTGACTTTGCACCTTGCGGGACCCTCGGAAACGTGCGATGCATTAAGATAGTGTCTCAACAAAAGCAGACAGACACACTCATCTCATCTGTGTGTTGATAAACTGCGGTGTATGCAATTTTCAGACAATATACTATTTGCTCACAAAGAGTTCTGGGTAGCCCAGTTGCTTATCCACTGTTTCATTCACACATGACCTGACGCCAGGCTGTTGTTGATCATCATCCTCCTGTCTGTCTTCTCTTTGCTCTTCTCTAAGAAGTGCAGTACAAGTGTTTTACCCATGACATTATGGCGATATAAAGGCTGTCCATCTGAGTCATTTCAGTCTCTGATTCGCTGCAGCTCTATGGGTGCATAAGTAAATGTCAATCTAGATGTGTGCGGTTGGGTATGAGTGTGTAATTTCAGGAAATGGACATCAGGCCTCCCCGGCTTGTCTTCAGCTCAGCGTGCTGCCCACAATGCTGAGGGCCTCAGGTTTCCCACACGGAGGGCAGAAAATAGAGGGCGTTCCTCCAAAGCTGTCGGCAGAGCTCAACCAGCAGGAGCTGCAGCCTGCATCACAACGACTGTTTTTTATTTAGAGGAGGAAGGAAGGGATGCTGAGAGGGAGTGGGAAAGGAAAGGAGATGATGAGGTCTGGGGTGGTCAAGAAAGGACTGGAGGAAAACCTAGAGAGGAGGGAGAGTGGAAAATAGTGTGGTACTTTTTCTGTTATGTAGGGGAAAAGAACAGAACATCCAAATTAGGAAAAACTATGCACTGTATTAGTATTCAGTTTGATCTAAATTCCAGCAATTTGCAGTCAACAGAATGACAGAAATATCTTATTTAAATGAGGATGTTTTGGTTTCAAGAAGGAAAACAGAGCAGTTCCTCAAATGGCCATTTTTTAAAAATGTTGACATGTTGACATGGCCAACTATAAAGTACAAATAATCATCGTTACAACGCAGGACAAAATTAGTTTCTGTTTTGTTTGTAAGTCGCCCATTTCAACTATATTTAGCCCTAAAGTTGTGTTTGGTTCCTTTTGGAGCATATTGTGTGTGACACCCCGTCTACAGACCTGCCTAGCAACAACTTTCTATGGTTTCTATGGTTCTATGGTTCTATGACTCCAAAGCTAAGATGGTGACGGTAAGTTAAGCCAAACAATCAATCACCTGACATTTGACTGTGTTGATCCAGGTTACTGTGGTGCAGTTCATTAAAAATAAATATATAAATATACAAATAGTCCATGAAAATTAACTAAATACTCAGATATCTATCTTAGCCCAACAAAAATAGACATTTATTCAAATTCATAAGATTGTTGGGAGAATACGGTGTTGCCAATAAAATAAATCTTCTTTTGAATTGCATCGGGCTGCTGTTGTTTGCAGCCCCCTCTCTCCTCTCTGCTTTAATAAGTGTAACTGCATTTGGGATTAAGAGACCCCCTGTTTCAGCGACTTCAGTGTAATTATCTTTGGCCCCTTTCCACGCACACAATCACACACACACAACTATAGGGCTTTTTTGTTTGTTTAATTAGATGCAATGATTTTATGGTGGTGGGAAAAAGAGGAAAAGTCATTAGACTAATTACCAAAGTCTCAGTAGCAAAGTGTGTATCTGCACTTTGTCATCGGGATAAAAGATTCAATGTGTCGTCCTTTAACGACACCAGAGGAATGACTTGAGACTGCTGCGAATGATTTGCCAAACAAAATCCTTCCTTTATGCTTCTGTGTTTTTGCAAATCTCCAATCAACTTGGCTTCTCTGCTAAAACACCAGGCACGTGGAAAGTCACCGAGTTCACTTTCCATGTATGTTGCTTATTTTCTTACGATCTACATGGTTGGGAGAGGATGTTGATTTGGGTCAAGAAGAATTTACTGTTTTGATGTTGGCTCTAAAAATAGGGGTTGTGTTTGGTCAGCTTCGAGTCCACGGTAGAATTAAGAGTTGTTAAAAAAATGTATTAAATCCCCTTTTTATTTAATGTCTGTAAGTAACCATATTCTCATATAATTCCACTTGAATTCATTTTGATAGTTACTTTGGGATCTGAGAAATACACTTCTGTTCAGTATGACAGTGAAAGTGATCCAGTGCTGGTTTTAGTCACCAGCAGAGATGGGCAGTAACGCATTACTTGTAACGCGTTACTGTAATCCGATTACTTTTTTCAAGTAACAAGTAAAGTAAGGGATTACTATTGCAAAAACTGTAATTAGATTACCGTTACTTTCCTGTAGGAACGCTGCGTTACTGCGTTACTAAAACCGTGATTTTTTTTTTGCGAGAATGTCTCATGACAGTGACGTAATCAAGTGAGCGTGCAGCGTTTAAAGCGTGGAAGTACTGACCTTACTTTGAGTTTGATTCCGTAAAAAGTGACAAAAATATTAGTGCCCGTTGTGCGTGGGAAGAAAACTTCTTTTTACAGCGAAAAAAACCCCTAAACTTCCGAGCAAGCACCGAGTGCGCTATGATGTAATGGGAAATTCACAGAGAAACTCGTGGATTCTTCCACTGACTGCTGCGGCACACCTGCACCAGGGTAAACCTCCGCCTACCCTACTCCTCCTTTACAGGTGAAAATAGAGCAACAGGACCGCTAGTCTTTGACTTTATTCATTTTCTGCTGTGTTTTACTTGCATCTATTTGAAAGAGTGAGTGTAAACACAAAAATATATATTTTATGTGCTGGAATGTGCAGAAAATAGGTTTAAATATTAAACAAATTTCTTCCAGTCAGTGAATGTTGCATATAATAAAATGTTTGCTTGATGCATAAAGTTAAAAGATTAAAACTAATAAAACAGGTTTTAAAAAGAGACTGTTTCATTTGATTACATTTTGTATGATGATTATGTAGAAAAAGTAGAATTGGGCTGAAAGATCTATCACTTTATCACCTATTCAGGTTGTAAATCATGTTTTTAAAAAGTAACTAAGTAATTAATTACTTTTGAAAATAAGTAATCAGTAAAGTAACAGGATTACTTTTTGGGGTAATTAGTTACTGATTACTTTTTTCAAGTAACTTAACCAACACTGGTCACCAGTAGTGCTAGAAAGCAGTTAACACCATGTGGGTATCTTACCTAGCATGGACGCCTCGATAGCTGGTTAGCTCAGACATTTGCTGACGTGGGAGTAAACTATGTTCTTCTTCTTTGGACTGAACACTGACCAGCTAATGGCAAGTTTCCATAACATCTGCTAGTCG